AGCTCTGGCCATTGTAGTCATTTGGGGAGTGAACCAGTGAATGGAAGACCTCTCTCTGTGTCTCTCCCTCCCTCTCTGTCTGTAAAAAGAAAGAAAGTGACTTGATAGTGAAAACAAATTAAGCCACACAAAGGGCTTGTCAGGTAACAGGAATATAGGCAAAAGAGTGGTGGTGGATGTGTGAGTGGTGGAAACTGTGGGAAAACGAAAAAGTTCAGGTCCTGTCTCAAGGAGGTACCCTCTATTAAGGTCCAGCAAATTTCTGTCCCATGAGAATATTGTCCTTGTCTTGTCAAACCGTCCCCTTTTTTCAAGGGAAGTTAGGCATCTGGATTTTTATAAAACCTATTCATTTATTGATGGTGATTAAAAAAAAAAGTAACATTATTTGGGACAAAGGAAACATTATCTATTACCAGATTTTTCTGGAGGGCTGAAAGTTTGTAATTTCCAGAAGTAAGAGAAGTTGCAAGAAATCAAGTACTCATATTTGTCATATATGTTTAGCTATTGATATCTTCATTGCATTTATGTTTAAAACAAAAGAATTAACTTAAACTCCCTTACTAGTGTAGCAGCATGCTGTAATAAAACAATCAGTGGCTTCTAGAATATGTTAATTCTTCCAAGAAACATTTATTGAAAACCTACCTATGTACCAGGCAATACACACGTGGCTAAGAATATAAGGATTAAGATATTGTCTTTGTTCCCAGAGATGACAAACCAGTATGGAAAGATTTGTACCAAAATATGTTAGTACACTGTATTAACACTTATCACAGAGATATGTCAAAAGTACAAGGGGAGTAGAAGAGAGGAAATCATAAATTTTCCCAAGAGATTAGCAGGGATTCGCAGAGGAGAGATCATTTTGAGTAGAGCTTTGTTTCAAAAGGGTTGGATGTTAGTGATATAGTAAGATATGCTAGAGAGGAATAGAGTATCATTATAAATTCTAACAGGAAAGCAATACATTTGGATTTATATGATATTCTGGCTGCAGTATGGAAAATGGCCTACAGGCGGAGACAGAGTAGAGAGTGACGAACTACAAGACCAAGATTTCAGTAGTTCAGTGAATTGAGGCAGCAGCTGAGGTCATGAAAGAGGACTACTGGGTGAGAAAGGTAATCAGGGGGGTCAGTGCTGTGGCACAGCAGATTAAAGCCCTGGCCTGCAGTGCCAGTATCCCATATGGGCGCTGGTTTGAGTCCTGGCTGCTCTACTTTTGATCTAGCCCTCTGCTATGCCCTGGGAAAGCAATAGAGGATGGTCCAAAGTCTTGGGCCCCTGCACCCACGTGGGAGACCAGGAAGAAGCTCCTGGCTCCTAGCTTAGGATCAGCTCAGCTCTGGTCATTGAGGTCATTTGGGGAGTGAACCAACAGATGGAAGACCCCTCCCTCCCCCAGCTCTACCTCTCTCTGTAATTCTGTCTTTCAAATAAATAGAATAAATCTCTTTTATTTAAAAAAAAGATAATTAGGGGATATAAACAGATAATTAGTGGATATAAACAAAGCAACCTGATAGTGATTGTATCCAAGTGAGAAGGGTGAAAAGGCGGGGTGAGGGGATGCAGGGGGCGGATTGAGAATGACTCACAAGACTTTCTCTGAGAGGTCCTTTAGTACAAAGGTAACAGTGTATTCTCTGGAGCCAGGTTACTTCAGTCCAAATCCTGTCACTTCCACTTGCTGTGTGACTCTAGGCAACTTATTGATTCTCTGAGTTTCAGTTTTGCACGTGAGGGAGCCTCATAAAGTTCATAGAAAATGGATATTATCTTTTTATATAAAAAATTTGAGTTGAGCCATTTTTAATTATTTATTTAGTTACTTAGTTTATTTGAAAGGGAGTGAGACAAAGAGATAGACAGAGCTCCTAGTCACTGGTTGATTCTCCAGATGCCTGCAATGACAGAAGCTGACAGTCTAAAGGTGAGAAACAGGAACTCTATCAAGACCTCTCATATAGGGGGCAGGCACCCAACCATTTGAGACATCACCTGCTGCCTCCCAGGGCCCACACTAACATGAAGCTTGAATCAAGAGTAGAGTTAGGTGCTGAACCCAGGTACTCCAATCTGGTTGTAGGTATCCCAACAAGCATCTAACTGTTGCACTTGAAGTGCTTTAGAACATTTTAGATTTGTATAGTTAACATTGTGTGCAGATCTCAGGTTAAGGAGAAAGTAAACTTTCATTAGCATGGTAAGGGTGGTTAGAGTCACATGCAGATTAAATCTCCTATGGTTGCTTTGGGGAAAGCTAGAGTTTGAATCTTCGATTTTAATGAGTAGAGTAGCAGGCAAAAATCTGCAGAAGCTTAGAAGAAAGCAGATATGTATTGGAGAAAAATGAAAGAGCAGCGGCTCGAAACAAAGAAAAGGATATATTTTTAGAGTACATTCTAAAATGCATATGGCAGTCAAGTAACTTGATAACCAAGAAGCATTTATATTTAATAATTAGAAAATCTTTAACAAAATAATTTACAATGGTGTCAATATTTGACATGTAAAATACTCAAAGTTAGTTTCCCTCCCTTGTCCTCCTTAATCTTAAATGCATTTTTCAAGAGAGGAGAATGAAAACGGCTACTACATTGAATGATAAAAATGTCCTGTATTTGAAAATTAAAAAAAAAAACATTGAATTTGACAATTGCACAAAATTCAACTATGCAGAGTAATTGAAAAGTATATTTTAAGAAAATATTTGTTCCTGTTGTATGTGATATGGTGCAAGACCCCAAAATTTCTCCTTCTTACTTCTAGTTTTCCTAAAGAATTGGAACTTAAAATAATTGCCAATGTCATAGTCACACAAATAGGAGATAGCACTGTCTGGATTTCCTCCCTTACTCTGTATCTTATTTTAGTTATTTTTCTTGTTACTTTACCTTTGAGTCTATAAACTGCAGGGATGAAACCTGAATGCAAAAATAATCTGAAAGGAAGAATATTCATACTTTTACAAAGGAAGGTGTTCTATTTCTAATAACATTGGTTTTACAAAAAGTCTGGTTATTTTGGCAATGTAGAGTATAAAGCGAAAATGTTAAGAGTGTTGGCTTTGGAATAAAAAGGAAAATCTACCACTCCTCAGGTATGAAGTCCAGGGAAAACTACTTACTCTTCTAGGCCTCCATTTTCCACAAGTAAATGGAGAAGAGACTTCAATGTCTGCAGATTTTGTTAAGAGCCAGAAGAACATACAGAGAAGGGCTTAACATACTACTTACAAGAAATGGTGGCTTATGTTATTTCACTCTTTAACCTCTTCACACTCCATAGTTGATGAATATGAAAAAGTTTGAGGTAATTATTTTTAAAAGAATAGTCACTTGTAGAATGAAAGGTCTTTTTCATACATGATTAAAAACATTTAAGTCCTTCCTAGCCATGTAGTCTTGTCCTTCTCCCGGATAGTCTTCCAAGAGAACCAACAGCCAGATCCATAACTTACCATGGCACAAGGGCTGAGTAAGCTTTGGGCTTCTCATCAAACCAATGTGTTTCTTCATAACCAATGAAATTTATGACTCATAAAACAAATATTTTCAAAATCTATACTCAAGTAAAACCATACAGTTAATACATATCACTAACAATATATCAGAAGTAACATCATCACATACTAAATTTCTTATTAATCTGATATTATCAAGTAAAATACCAAATTATTATTACAAACATAATTATTTTTCATTTTACATAAATTTAAAACAAAATAAATTTATAACATATGCTGAATCTATCTGCTGAAAAAAATCATTTTAAGTTCATCACCTAAGTTGTCAAATTACATACTGGTGTTTCATTTTTAATTTACAATCAAATAAAGAAAAGTGAAAAATGCCCCTAACCTGTTATTTACATTTCATTTTTCTGAAAGATCACTATGACTTGCTATTGGCAAAATGATCCTTAAAAAGGTAATAGAAGACTATCCAGGAGAGTGGAATCCCATAAAGTATGATAGTATTATAAATCCTAAAGTAAGATTACTAGTACAGATGTTCTTAATCATACTGAAAACACAAATACACAAACCAGTTTGTTCCAGCTACAGAATAATTAAAAGAGTGCTTATAATTTAGCACAATGGTAAAGCCAGGGAAGTAGTGAAACTCAAAAGAAATATAAACCTACAGTGTCTATGCCAAGGAAAGTATTCCAAATTCTCAAGGATGAGAAATCAATTTCTTTCTGTTGTACAAGTAGAAAATTATTACCTGAATTAGCCAAAAACCTACAATAAATATGCCTTTAAACAAAGCATATACACACCTATGAACACACATGTGCACAGACATGCATACTTGTTAACTAACTCTTACCAAAAGAAACACCTATCTAAATCCATCCAGAATATCAGTTAGAAACAGCTTTTGGAATACTAAAAATTGGACTTCTCACCAATTTAAATTTCTTTTTTTGAGAAACACTTACAGTAGATAATATGATACAGAAGCAAACTGGCATACATGGTAAGACATCAGCTCTAAAGACTTAGAGGATTCTCCTTGCAAATAATTTTCTTGGCAAAGAGCCTTCTTTATGTACAGAAAGATTTGTTCCTTACTTATAGCAACCCTCAAGGCCACAACAGGGTCATTGTGTACTGCTAATTAGGCTGAAAAGCAATTGTGTTCAAGCCAGGAGATATTCTGTAACTGGATTCAGTGAAAGTAGGAAATTATATTAACAAGATCAAGTTTAAAAGACATTCTCCCACAATTACTAGTTATTTATTCTAAAACAGTGTGGATTTTAACACTGCAAAACTATAGTGAAACTCAAAAGTTGATTTGATGCTTAATAGCTATCAAAAGACCACAAGAAATGTCAAAAGACCCTTAGGAAAGCTCCTATACACAGATATCCGATATGCTTAGTTTCCAAAAGTTAGTATTCATGCCATTAGCTAATTTGTCCATCCCAGGTCACATCTATTCTGCATTAAACTGGAAAAATCAAATGCAGTACATTACCTTGCGTCACCTGTTGAACTGCCAACATTATCCCAGATACGGTATCTGGGAGCAGGTTTTCCTTCAGATTGTAGCGTGGTGCCCATTCCAAAATAGGTAGTCGCCTTCTGCACCACTGTTTAATGTCTTCACACTGAGGGCTATGCACCTTGCTCCAGAGCATGTTTTTCCTTTTCCTCTTTGCCCCTGTCATTTTTCAGACTCCCTCTTTCAAAAGTAAACTTCTTAAGACAAGAGAAAAAATCGTTGCAGAACACCTCTTTCCGATGCCAGGCTCCAACTCTTCTGTGGTTTACAATGACAAAGCTACCCAGAAAATAAACAAATAGAAGAGAGATGGGGAGAGAGAGATTAACAGAGCACTTAAATATATACAGCTGGATTATATGTCTTATTATGATGCAACTATTTATTCTAGACAAAAAAACCATAGATTAAAACCTTGAATTCTTATCTGAATGAGAAGTGGTTCCTGTGAATGTAAAATTGTTTCTGATCTTGGGGAAGTAATGGGTTCAGTGCTAAGTTGGTCTACAGCTCTCTCGCCAATAATTCTCCTTATATTCACTGTAGTCTTAGGCTTTTGGCTGCCATCCCAATGGTTAATGAGGTAGTGCTGGGCGTGTGTTGGAAGTAGGCTGGGCTATGCTAATGAAACCAGGAAACATCCAGCTAGTCCAGTCTCTGCCTACATGCTATGCAAAACCATAAAACTGCTGAGAGGTCTGCTGTGCAAATACGCTCAGAGAATCCAGGCTTACTTCTTTGAGAGATACATATTTCCAACCCAGCAGATGACTGCCAGTTCTACAGAATTCAGAAACACGACAGGGAACTGCTGAAGGCTCTCCTTGTCTTTATTCCCTGCCAGAAGAGGTTTCATTCATACAAAAACATTCAGAAAACTGCCCAGTCTGGGAAAGGAATAGCTGGTTCTCATAAACAAACTGAAATTTCATCTCATCAGCTAAGAAAATAAGGATCACAATGGACAAATATTTGTGGCTAGAATTCTTCCCTGTCTCTGAAACAGTTCATTCAGTTGTCTCTGTTTCTCAAAGTCATATAATTCACACACTTATGCTGCTGTAATTGAAATGTATTGAAGAATAACATATGGTTTAAGCTATTGTTTGAAGTATCTCTAACATGTTTTCCCTTCGTGGTGCTGCCCCTTTTTCATATGACTTTTGTTGGGGGGAGGTGGGTTCTCTTTTTAAGGAGAGGTGTTACATTTTATAATAGAGCAGACCAACTATCAAAGATTTTTATTTTATGATTGTTTCCCTCAACCCCCAGAAGAAAAAGCCTGCATTTATGAGCTGTGCCATTGGAATTAAACCAAAAAGCCAATATACAATAAAATTGTGAAGCCAAGAAAAAGAATACCATGTATATAGTTCACTGCCGTGCATTTAATGCCCATTTGTCCAGAGCACAAAAATCTGATTTCTGGAATCCTTTAGAATAACAAAGTTCTTGGATCCCTTGGCTATTTCTAAGATCCCCTGCTGTACTTTCTCCCATTGTTTCTGAAATTAAAGTGAAGAGCTACTCTCTTAACCTTCCAAAGATGACATCTCTGAATTTGGATCTGTTCAAAAAATACCTTTTCTTTTCAATCCAATGAACACACATACACACACAAACACAAAACAAGGGTACTTCAAAAAGTTTGTGGAAAATGGAAATTAAAGGGTAGGCTTAATGTAGTGCAAAAAAAACTTTATGGACAATGTATATTATGGAAAATGTTTGATGAAATTTCAAAAAATTTTATACCAAGTGGTGAGTGCTGTACCATAGCAGGTTAAGCCTCTGCCTGAGCCCTGGCACCTCACTGGGCTCTGGTTTGAGTCCCAGATGCTCCACTTCCAATCGAGCTCACTGCTAATGTGCCTGGGAAAGCAGTGGAGAATGGCCCAGGTCCTTGAGCTCCTGCACTCATGTGGGAGATCACATGAAGTTCCTGGCTCCTGGCTTTGGACTACCCAGCCCTGGTGGTTGCAGCATTTGAAGAGCAAACAAGCAGATTGAAAACTTCTCTCTCTCTCTGCCTTTCAAATAAATAATTTTTTTTAATTTACACCGATATAAACTTGACTTCTAACTTCATTTTCCATTAACATTTTGATGTATTTGTCTATATATGGAGCAGGAGTTGGGGAAAAAAGCTAGATTTATTCATACCTACAGCATAGAATTTGATTTGTATTTTTAAACTGATTATATTATATTAAATTTCCAAACTATTCAGGAGTTCAAGTTTAAGACTTATATAAAGCAATTCCCATTAAGAGACAGAGTTGTAGCAATTTAACCCAATTCTCTTATTATATATATATTATATTATACATCAAATCAATGTAAATCTACTCTTAGTAGAGACAGCATTTACTTTTCCTTTACAAATAGCAATCTTTGTTTTATATACTGCATCCAGAATAAACACAAATTCAGAAGTTATACATATACTGATTATGTATCACTTTTATAAACAAAATAAACATTAAAGATATTTTTTCTTTTCTTTTTCTTTTTCTTTTTCCTTTCCTTTTTTTTTTTTTTTTTTTTTTGACAGGCAGAGTGGACAGTGAGAGAGAGAGAGACAGAAAGAAAGGTGTTTCTTTTTCCATTGGTTCACCCCCCACAAGTGGCTGCTACGGCCGGTGCGTTGCAGCCGGCATGCTACATTGATCCGAAGCCAAGAGCCAGGTGCTTCCTCCTGGTCTCCCACGTGGGTGCAGGGCCCAAGGACCTGGGCCATCCTCCACTGCACTCAAGGGCCACAGCAGAGAGCTGGCCTGGAAGAGGGGCAACTGGGACAGAATCCGGTGCCCTGACCGGGACTAGAACCCGGTGTGCCGGCGCCGCAAGGCGGAGGATTAGCCTATTAAGCTGTGGCGCCAGCCTTTAAAATATATATTAAATATCAATAACAAAGAATTCAGACAACAGGATTTTAAAAATTGAAGGTAAATGTGTGTAGAAGTATCAATGTCACATCTGTGCCAACAATTGCTGTTAACTATTTGAAAACCAAGAGGGAAAAAGAAAGAGTTTAGTAAAATAATTCTGAAATCTCTCAATAAAAAGTTCCTAAAAATTAAAATAAATTTCTGTTAAACTCAGGGCAGAATGAGTAGAGCAATAATCAAGTCAAACAATCAGTGATACGGGAGCTCAGAAGGGAAGAGTGAGAAATAGGCTATCCATCCTGCCTAGACCCTGTGTGCAACCAGGTGGCTATCACCACTGACTCTTCAGGCTGTCTTTGTATGAATTTCCAGTCTCATGGCCTTTTACATTTCTAAACATGTACTCAATATTTACCTTTTGCACAAAACTTCCCTTGATTTCCCCACAGTTCTGCTTATGTTGTATGATCATCACGCAGGCTACCCTCAGAATGCTGATGGGTATAAGAGCTTTAGTCATCTTTACTCTTTAGGATTTTCTTCCTTTAAATCTATGCCATGCGGTTTTTATCCAGTCTAGCTCATGAGATTGTAAATCCCTTGTGAGTAGGGGTTGTTAACATCATTCATTCTGCCTCTTTCCTTTGGATTACTAGAAGGAGCTGCAGACATAGTATCTAATCAGTACTAACACATAATCCTATTCCTGAAGTTATCAAAGAATCTAATCTATTTCAGTCTGGTTTCTAGGGAATGATGCTTAAGAATCAGAAAAATAGGTAGAGAGAGAATGAGAATTAGGTATGAAGGGGTTAAAATGAGAGATTTTATCTTTATTTATTTAGCTTCTCATTCTTTTACAATCTTTAGAAAGTTTTGTTTTGTTTTTTAGCATAGTGGTTTTTCTCTTATAGAAATTGGTGAACGGAATAACGAAGAAGAACTAGATGGGAATTACAAGAGAAAGGTAGGAGACAAAAGAGAGGTAGAAAACCTCCTGGATTGGAGCTTCCAAGAGAGAGTTTTAGAGGGCTGGCATATGAAAGCCTCGGGATCATTGTGAAAGGTGAGGGAATTTGGTCAGGCTTGAGTGAGGTAAAGCTTGAGATACATTGTGCAGGTTATAGATCAGCTCACATTTAATGGCTTTTGAGAGACAGGAGAAAAGACTGATGTTCTTCTCACATTACTTTCTCTTAAAAAAGATTGATTTATCTACATATTTGTATGAAAAACAGAGTGGCAGAGAGACAGAGAGAGAGAGAGAGAGAGAGAGAGGTCTTCCATCAGCTGGTTCACTTCCCAAATAACTGCAACATCCAGATCTGGGCCAGGCTAACCCTGGAGCCATGAACTTGATCCTGGTCTCCCACCTGGGAAGCAGGGGACCATCATCTGCTGCCTTCCCAGGTATATTAGCAGGGACAGAGATTGGAAGCAGAGCAGCTAGAATTCAAATGGGCACTCTGATATGGGATGACAGTGCAGCAGGTAGTGGCTTAGCCTTCTGTGCTACAACATTGGCCCCCTCACATTGCTTTTAATATCAGCATGATGCCTTTCCTATGTGAAGACTGGAACTTCTAAAGCACTGAATTATATCCAAGGTACATTTGGAAACATAGACTCATAAACTTGGGAAGACATCAGCTCCACACTCACACCTACTGCAGGAAGTTGATCTTTAGCATTTCTAGTAAGAGAACTCTGCAAAAGGCTCCCATCTGAGGAGAGAAGTGGGGGCTGAAACTAAGGCTATCTCTATTCAGTAAGCCTCACAGAGGGAACAACTTTCATTAAGTCCACTGAACGGGATACCTTTTCCTAATTTACTAAAAATTTGGCCCAGCCCTAAATCTAACCACTGTTTTAATTCATCCAACAGCTGAAGTTATCAAGTTTAGGAAAGTATCCTATTTCAATTTTCAGACGTTCTAATTGTTAGAACATTTTTTCCCATTTATCCAGCCAAGATCTGCTACTTAAGATTCTACACTTCAGTCTTCACCCTAATCCCTATGACATACAACTTTCACCTTCAAGTCTAATTCATTTAACACTACCTTAAAAAAAATGTTCTTTGTATGAGTGTTGTTAATTTCAGAAATACCATTACATTCAATTGTGGGTGCACATATTTTTATAAGTGAATTAAGTCCTGGACACGGCAGTTGATGTTTTTCTCATAACAGAGCAACAACTGCAGTGCAGTGAACAAAACTCCATGCTCT